GTATAGAATATAATGGATTTATAATCAGACATATCAGGACAATTGTTTTTGACCAAAGACAACTACTTAGAAATGAGAAAAAAAAAACCACAACAGGACAGAGAAAAGTAATAAAAATACAGTAATCATTTATGACATGGCTTTTTTCCCTCATTGTTTTTTAAGTTTTTTTTTCTTGTAAAGTAATAATACATGCATTACCTCAATAGTATCTTCAAAAGAGCAATTGTTGCACGCTGTCTGTTAAAATGCCCTGAACGTTCTATGGTCATTCCTCTCGAGTCAAACATAYATGAATTCTACATATCAAATCAACTTGTTGGTCAATCATTTACTAACACTAACAGGGTAGAATGAAGAGAAAACAGTTTGCAAACTTTTAATCCCTGTTGCCTGCAGCTCGTTGAAAAACTTACTGGGTTATCAATTCTTACACAGCTCTCTTTCACTTTATCTCAAATTACACAACCTAAAAACAAGCCTTTAAAATTCCACAAACCTACCCAAGTACCAGACTTTGAAATGAGCTTTGTGTTTTGTGTAACATTAACCATGCTGAGGCTTGAAACGTTTTTGATACAAAAGTCTAAAAATATATCTGAAACTGTACTGTAAGCAGCTAAACAAGTTTGAAATGACAACATTTGCAACCACAGTTCAGTGAAACAGAATCCACGGTTCATCTCGACTCATCAGGGTTGATGTTCCTCTCATAAAGGGTCGAACACTTTTCACTTTCAATCCTTACTGTGTCCGTGTTTTTCTTAAACAGCGCCGAGACCTTGAGTCCATTGATGAGGGCCAGTCGTTTGTGCACGGACGTGCGAGCGAGCTGCAGCTTTTTGCGTGCCGGTCCTCTGCAGCGAAGCAGCTCTCCGTAGGCCTGACGGAACTCCCTGTTGAACGCCGGATACAGGATGGGATTCAGGGTCGAGTTCAAGTAGCCGAGCCACAGGACAACTGAATGAAGTGTATTAGCAGGCATTGTTTTTTTCTTTATGCCCATGCAGGTGAAGAAGGTGAAGTAGGGAAACCAACAGATGACAAACGCACCCAGCACAGCTGCTAGGGTCACTGTAGCTTTGTGCTCTCGGACCATGGTMGCAGATGCTGAGCGTGCAAAAGACGGGGTATTAGCACGGATACGACGCACCTGAAAAATATTGGACACAGAAAATTCAGTTGTAGAACTGTGATTATTGAGTGATTTAAAACTGCAGGGTGAGTCAAAATATACAGTATAAAGGGAAAACTACATATATGAATAAACAGTAAATGGTCTGAACGTGTATAGTGCTATATCAAGTCCGAGGACTCCAAAGCACATGACTCTACAGTCATTCGCAAACTCATGGTGAGAAGCTGCTTTATAGCCACAGACTGAAAGGGGCAAGGCTGCCATACTGGTGCCACCAGGCACTGACCAGCACCAGCAGGCAAAGCAGGGGAAGTGATGGAGCAAACAAATTGGCAACCCACCAGTTACAGAATGACTCCCCTAACAAATCTGCACCGCCGCACCCAGCAAGTAAYGGGTGAGATGGTCTATCGAGAAGGGGTTAACTGCGGAATCAAATTGGGCGTGTCATAAGAGTGGGCGTGTCTAAACCATAAACACTGTGGGCTGCGAGACCTACATGACGGTATCCTTAGACCCTGCTTGACCTCTATACAGCCTGACCCTGACCCCAACACTAAGGTTAACCAGGAGAAGTAGGGTTCTCCAGAAAAAGTGGTGCCGTACAATAACGCCCCTTTTGTTCTTGTCCAATCAGGTGGTGCCRTACGGTGACGCCCCTTTTTTGCTTGTCCAGTAAGGTGTGTCCCTTTACAAAAGTTCATCAAATCAGGTGTGTCGCTTTAGAATCGCCTTTCGTTGTGACACGTCCACTCGTCCGCAGAGACCCCTACTTGGGTCTGTCTTTTAGGCTATGTCCTGAAAATGGTCGCCATCTTGAAAGCTGTCATGTTAGAAAAAAACAAAAACAAAACAAAAGGGTGTCCTGTGACTTTTGACTCACCCTGTACATTTGGATATTCAGATCACTCATCTGAAATCCTGTTTTCTTAATCCCAAGTTCAAGAGCTTCGGTCAGCAAATAAAATGTAAAATGCAAATGTTTACTCAACTCCTAACAGATTTGGGCCAATTCTTTTACACGGATACCTTCAAAACAGAAATATACACATGTTCTTATAGTTGTCCAGAAAATAGTTGTTCAACCAATCAACATCCAGAGATGATTGGTTGAATAAAGAGCAACAAACTCAACAGGACTAATCTGGCTAGGCTTGACTTTTTCTTTTTTTTTTTCTCATTACTCTCTATGACTGATTTCACAGTTAATAAGATGGTAATTGTTGACTATCTGAAAAGACATTTTAAAAACCGATCAAATTATGTCTTTAACATATTTTATTCTACTTTATAAAAGGGTTTTACCACTGACCTGTTCTCGTGCCACTCTGAAAATGCAAAGGTACATTCCACACATAAGCAGCAGAGGTAAGTAAAAAAAGCCACAGACATAGATGACAACATAGTTGTTATTCCATTCATACTGGCAGTAGTGTCCCCCATTGTCCTCAACTCCAGCAGCCCAGTTCGAGTTCTGCACCCTGTAGTCTGATGTGTTCCAGCCCAGATGGATGGGCAAAAAGGCCGCAGCCAGAGACAAGAGCCAGATGGAGACGATGGCCAGTGTCACCCTTCGAGGGGTAACTCTTTGAGAGTGGCTGAGGGGGGACGAAATGGACAAATATCGGTTCACGCTGATAGCCAGGAGAGTCAAGATCGAGCATGTGCACAGCGTGACGTCCAGCGAGATGTAAATGTTACACAAGGTTCCTCCGAAAGGCCATTTCCTGCTGCGCAGCTCAACGGTGGCAGACAAGGGCATCACCAGCAGGCCGAGCAGGAGATCGGCCATGGCCAGCGACACCACGAAGCAGTTAGCGGTCCGCCTCAGTCTCCGGCTGAGGCCCACGGCCAAGCAGACCAGGACGTTACCGCCAATGGTCAGGATGATTACAAACACGAGGAACAGCCAACGGAGAACCGTGAAGATCATGACTGGCTTCGTCTTTGGGTCAGCGCTCCTGTTTTTGGTTGCAGATGTTTGAAATGACTCATCCACTCGTAGAAACAGTCGCAGCTCCTTCACAAATTCATCAGGAGATCCTTTTCATGGCGTCTGATAAATTTCACAGGTAGATCACTGATTGGGAAACTCTTCTTGGCCATTTCTTTTAAAATATCAGGGCCACACTCCCTTCAGTAAGTTCATCCCTGGAGCAAAAAGAGAACATTAYAAAAAAAGTAATTAGAACTGAGTTACAATAATTATTGTTTCTAAACGACTGTTCTATCAACAAATCTCAGTTTTTCAGTAAAGTGAGAAGTATATTCCTAATGTATAGTATTATTTGAGTAAAAGTCTTAAAGTATCTGAAATTTTTGTTCTTAAGTATCAAAAGTAAGTTTCTGACTCAAAATCTACTTGAGTATTAAAAGTAAAAGTACTGAGTAAAAGTGAGCAGTTAGAGTTTCCAAAATGACATTTAATGGGAGGTGACTTCTCCAAAAAATATGAGTTGTGTACAAGCGGTGTCAGAATGGTATATACTTTTTATACTTCTCATCCAACCACAATTAAATTCACTCTATCCAGGAGGCGCAACTCATCAGGATAGTATTTTTTTAAGTAATAACAATTCGGAATAAAATAGGAGTAACGACTTACTTCTTAACTTTTTAAAAAATGTAGTGAGTAGAAAGTAAAAAGCACGCTGAAAAATAATTACTCCAGTAAAGTACAGATAACCAAAGTTTCTACTTAAGTATAGTAACAAAGTATTTGTACTTAGTTACCTTACAACTCTGGCTAAAAGCAACAGATTAAATTCCTTATTCCGGATTAGAAAATCAGGATTTACAGTTTATGTTTCTGATTAAAGGTCCAACATACTGATTTTGCTTTTTGCACAATGCTTCTCTATATAAAGTTGTTTTTAATCCTAATCTAATTTGCAGGACTAATAGCAGCTAATTCTTTTACAAGTTATTAGGCAGATTTTCTTATTTAAGAAAGGTTAAATGGCCTTGGGTTAACACATTTGACTTAAGAATCTATGCAGAAATGTAAATATATTTTTAGCTTTTGTACCTTGTAAAGATATCAAAGCTTTAGCAGAATATATGCGTAACCTCTAAAAACACCAACAAGAACAGAGGATGTGAATCCTACATGAAGGCAGAACTCTAACATGTTTACGTCCCATTCTTTCAGCTGCTGTTTTACACAATGCCTCACTTCGGTGATTTAGTCCCCATAAAGTTAAACAACTTCCTCAGTGCCACAAAGCTTATTCTATCGTTTGTTTACCCTGCTTGGCTGTTTATCTTTCTCACACAACGTRAAAACAAAATTCCTTAAAAAGTCAGACAGTTCTAATCACGACCATTTTGGGATCATCAACACATCCTGCACTTCTCCTTGCAGGCCAACAAGATTTGTTCACTTTTTCCTGAAGCACTGTCACTTTATTGTACGCTTGCCTTACTGTCAAAACATCACCAACATATATATACAATAAGTTATKTATTGTCTGCTTATGGCCAAGAGCTAAATGATATAGGTTATTTACAAGAATTTGCTGTATTTGCTCACAGGGTTACAACATGAGCTCTTATAAACCATCATAAAACATTTAGTCCAAGAGGTCACATAAATCCAAACTGTTTATTAAAATAGTTTGGCAAAAGAGAAACAATCTAAAATATCCTACCACATAATTTTAGAAATAATCCCAAAGACTGCTATATTTACGTAATCTGTTGATTTATTTTACATTTTTTTGTTTTTTTGCATGTCTTCAGTTTGTTTATTACTTCTCCAACAGGTGGTTACTGATCCACAAAGGCATTTTGTTTACTTTTGTGTGCTTTCTCACATTTCCAGCTGTCCTCAAATTTAGTGACACTGAAATAACACTGATGTACGAAACTCCCACCRTTTCTGGCTTATTTAATTATAAACGAGCTAAACCAATTTCACAGTAACAGCTAATTCAATTTGATGTCAAACTGTGCTGTCAGAGCATCAGTCACTGCAGGAGKCCATCCTTGAATAGAGAAAAACTATAAAGGATTTAGACTTAACGTTCATAAACTAGTAAAACTCACTGAAGTGGTTAGAAAAACGTAATGATTTTGAGGCYGTAATACCTGATATCAGCAAAAGTGAAAATACTAATCGTAAAGTATGTTGTTCTTGAGAGATTATATTCTTTAATCTCATTAACATAACTCAATGTAATGGCTTATAATATTTTCATAACGTTCTTTATTGAATGCATTCCCTTTGTATGGAACAGCTTATGGTGGATAATTTTGTCATTTGTTTATTAATTTTCATACATGGCATGATTTTCTTTTTTGTAATAGATTATTTTACTGTAGATTTTTCTGTTTTATGAATGAAATAAACTGAATAAAAAATAAATAAAATATTCAACACTTCAGGTGCGCCAGTAAGGAAGGCCTAGTGGGGGCAATGATCACCTTAAAAATAGGTGCCCCCTCCACTGGCTCAAGCTTTTTCTAGGTGTCCTAACTATTTAGGATTAATAGAATTTCAAACATAAAAACAAATACTGTTTTTGAACAAATAAAAGTTAAAAGTATAACAAATTTTATTTGATGCAGGTTCTTGTATAGATATAAATATGATATTATGATCTTTTCACTTTTAAATTCGATAGTTTTGTTGCATTTATTCATAAATTTAAACATTACAATTGATTTAAAATATATTTTATATAAATCTAAGTTTTCAAAAAAGAGAGTCAGACAGATGTTTTATAGACCAATGCATAGTAGAAAAAGACTCCATAAGTCCTGTATTGCTGCATTTAACAGATAATTAAATGACAACAGAAACTGTTGAAATTCTTTTCTGGGTTTTGGTCCCAGTTTAGGTGTGGACCCCCCATGGAAATAATCTGATAATGCCACTTTTTCATTTTTCTGTGATTTATGTAAAAACAGAGAATTTCCAACTAAGACCTGCTGTAGGATYATTTGGTGTTTGTCAGACTGTCGGGTGGACTACATGAAAAATGTGAGAGCTGCATTTAAATGTTCTGATGACACTTGTGATARAACCCTGGATCTTTACTACAATGTTTGCGCAATACTGAAAAAAAAAAAAGGCAAAAGCAATATTCAGTAGGAGGTAAAAGATAAGATATCAGCACCACAAGGCTTATGACGCATGCTTAACAAACTCATTCACGCTTTATTTATACAATATATCAAAGTTTTGGACGTCAGACGAGCAGAAGACATTTAAAAGAGTGACAGGTTTACTTAGAATAAATATTTTGTTTAGTGGCACTGGCTTCTGTTCTGGTTAAARGTTTTCCTAGTAAAACTTAATCCTGGTCTTAACAAATTTGATAATAATATCAGGTAATGGCAGTAAAGGTGATAAGGACAGAGGATACGTATTTACGATGTTTACATCTCAGCAGAGGAAATTATTGTCAAATGCTACCATCAATTCACTTCAGTTTACTTTATAAACACCTGCAGTAATAACAATTTAAATCATCAGGACCTTTCACACAGAAATCGAACAAACTAATTCAAGTCCACTTAAAACTATAACCCAGGTTATAGGTTATGAGAATTTAATATATTACTGTTACAGAACAAATTTATATTGTTTCAAGGGCATTGTTTAGGATTTTCCAATAAAATACGATTGGAACATTGAAGATGTATTATGATCTTATAATACCTTATGATGTCCACTATTAAAGTTATAAAAGTTTTTTGCAGCTTATATATAGTGAATATAAACTAGTCCACATTGGGTACACAGTGCATACACACTACATTATATTCACACTTGTTTCGAAGAGCTTAGTATTGCAATTTGACAACAAAATAGATCCCAGATGTTCTCAACRGCTTGGGAAATTGTGATTTAATAAATAAAATGTTCAAAACAAAAGACTGGTGAGGCAGTAAAATGACAAAGATCACAAAACCCATGAAAGATACCACAGAGACCCTGGACAAAGCGGAGAACCATAATGCAAGACAACACATGAAGTGGGAAAAGGTCATTGCTCCCATTGGACAGAAATGATGGGGGCGGGACAAAGCATAGACCCGGAAAAAAAAAGATAGTGCTGTTAATACAACTTCAACGCCATTTAGACTTTCAAGAGCAGCCCATTCAAAGGCGGTTTCAAGATGATAAACTTCTAAYTTTGGGATGGCGTTGGTAAATGTCTGCAGCAACACAAAGGAGTTGTTTGGTCCGCACCAGGGTTCACGACTGTATTTACATAAAAGGTCCAGACCAACGAAGGAAACAAACTCTGGTYCGTTTAAAGCAGACCAAATCTGTCAGCTGTGAATACACCCAAACACAAAGCTCAAAGGAAACACAGAATCCTGACAATTAGTTGAGAAAATTGTTCACTTTTTTTCTGCTTTTCAACAAGTTTATTAATCTGAAGGGGCTTATTTTTCAGCTATAGGGGAAATAAGTAGATTTTCTTTAATGATAGATTCTGCTTGTTTACATTGTAGCTGAGAGTTTGAATGGTTTCTGTTTTTCAAAATACCATAAGAACCTGGATTTATGGGCATAAAAGTTCAAAGAGGATTATTGTAAGGCTAAAAGTGTAAAAACACTATGCTTGCTAGCATCATTATCCGATTTGTCACACATAAGGAATACATGTAACATATCACTAAGGTACCACAAAGGTCTTTGGATCATTTCCTAGCTCCTTTTATGTTATTTTCCTGTTTGATCTGCTTGTAAAGCCATATCTTATTTCAAATTGTCCACACAGTGTGTGTCATACTTGTACCACACTCAGAATATGCTGTACTCACATTAAATATATGACTCACTACATAGCCATAAACAGCAGTGGCTCATGGTGCTTGAAAAAAACCATTAACATTGCTGTGTAGCGCATCTGACACACAAAAGGCTATAATCTACTGTAATAAAACTATATTATGGTTTATTTCAACACATTTGCACAACACATCATGGGTTTAAAGAYTTGCTGCAACAAAAATGGGTTTAGGAAATATTTGCATCATAACCATTGTTTGGTTTAGGAGATGAATGACGTTATTTAAATCTGACAGAACATTGCCTAGGTATTTGTTGTTATACTGATCTTCTACATTTAATTAAATGAAACAATTGCTGGCACCTTTTCATTTAYGTGAACCTTAATTT